CCTGCGGAGCTCGGGATTTAGTGGTGCTGCTGGTAGTGGAGTCTGCGGAGTGTCAGCAACAGGTTGAGGATTTGTGGGGCTAGTGAGAGGGCGTGTCTGTGCGAGTGATTCCGTGTCTCTCAGGGTCACCGTTTGGGGTCACATAGAAATCAGTGGTTGGGGGCCTGAAGGGGTGTATCTGTCGTTAGGGTTATTTTGGGTCAGTGAGTAGCGGCTGTAATGGGCAAAGGAGCCTGTGTGATAGCTTGGGGACCAGTCAGCTCGTGATCAATGATTGGGGCTCCAGCCCTGAATTATAATAGTTTACATTCAGGCTGCACTCCACACATATCACTGTGTGCTGGGTGTTCTTGTGTGGGTTTATGCCTATAAGGATGTGAGGGTACGGGGAGAGTTCTCATCCTTGCCTTAGATGTTCCGTTTCCATCCTTGGACCTTATCTGGTGAACAGACTTCAGGCAGTTTGTATTCTCTGCTACTAGCTTGTAAGTGTCTCTTCAAGCCTAAGTCTTTCTTCAAAAACACTTTCTCAAAGCTCCTTTGTCTTCTCCCTATCATTCAGTCTATGCATTGTCTTTGGACAGTTTCAGTCACCCTCATTGTATCAGCTTCCACCTTTAAAGTCATGACTTGACAATCTGGCATCAGCCCAGACATTTGTAACAAGCTCCAGATTCACAGTAGTCATCTTGTCTCCTACAATCTCTGGGAGGTTTACTCTTGGACACCTCAATCTTAACAATCAAATAGTTTATCATCTTCCTTCTCCACACTTTATCTGCTTGTTCTATATACTACATCATTATGTATGGAATCACTTCATCCAGATGTCCATAGTAAAAATCCTGGAGACATTTGTTTTTTCCCCATATCCAATCAATCTTCTGATCCTGGTGATTCTTCCTCCCTGACATCTCTCCAGGTTGTCCCCCCTGTTTTTACTGCCCTGGTCTTAGTTCAGGATGCATTAACCCTTGCCTTAAACCTATATCAGGAAAACCCTGCATCAGAGTGATGGACACTCTGGAAAAGTCAGAGGAATTCTATTAAGGAGGCATTTGGAAAAGCTTCCTAGAGAAGGTAACATTTGAACTGATCCTATAAATCTAAGGATGAGAGTGACTGTTACAGCTTATTGAACCCCT